CTCGCTGCCCTGCTCTCTGTTCTGACCCCCCTGTCTTGAGCAAGGAGCAGCACTGATGGCAAGGGACACAGAGGGCTTGCTGCTGGGGGACACTGAGAGGGGTGGTCTGAAAAATGACACATCTCTATTAAGCCTGGGGTCACCAAGTCCTGCAGGACAAATCCTGCCTGTGTGGTGCAGCCGCAGTCGCTCTGTAACGCACATACACACGCAGGGTACGGCTGCAATGAGCTGCTAGTCCATTCCTCAGCTCCTGCTCTCCCCAGGTCCCACGCTACATGGCATCACCTATTTATAACTGCATGCACTGCAGGAATAATATTAGACTGATGGCCTCACACAGTCACGCTAAGTGTTGTTCTATTTATGTGATTTGCTCTTCTTCACAAGCTGTTGGTGTCCCAGATGCCAAAAACACTCTACAAAGCATAGAAAAAGACTCAGATTTTTCTCTTTTATTAAAATCTTCACCAATGGAATCCAGTCCCAAGTATATTTACCATTTTTTCTCCAGTCACCTGGAGCAATTGCATCTACTATTCCTTCCCCAGTCTGATCGATATCCTTGGTAAATAAGATAACCTGTCAGGTCTGCTGTCCCTGTAGCCAAAGGTACTTGAGCAATGAAATTGTTTTGCTGAGGAAATAAATGCCTCTCACTGAATCTGAGGATGCTGTGACCTTTCATTAGTGACCTGAGTGACTCATCCCTTTTCATGTGTGCACTGCAGCCTCCCACCACACTGGAAAACATGCACCACAGAGTCCCACTGCCTCGTGCCTGGTGTAATGGGGAGCTGAGACCTGCGGGAGCTTCTTGCTCACACCACTTCTCCTCCAGCTTTGCACGTGGTCTTCACACCTTCGCCTGGGCCTGGGGGCTCTCATCTTATGGAGATGCCCTGTTTGTTCAGTGGGGACCCCGTGGTGCAGCGCCCCAGGGCTGGCTGGGTGCTCGACCCTTTGCACCATCTCAGTCCCCCAGTGATGTCCCCAGCACCCCCAGCCCTTGTCCGAGCAGCAGCTCCTGCTCCCTTGGGCTGTGGGAATCTCTGACAGGGTGACAAATGCATAAGTTCAGGTTTTTAACCCACACTTGTTTAACAAAGAGGGTTTTACTGGCCATACCAACCCCCTTGAAGTGAGGTGGGCAGCTCAGTCAGAGCCATGTATCACACACCGCAAGCTCTGTATTCACCAGTGGAGGCAAATCCTCCTTCTCCAGTGGGCTCACAGCTTGTACCTCTGCAGCCAGCAGCTGTTAAACAAGGCCTGGCAATCATTTTGGTAAACTCCAGGAGTCTCTGCAGCTCCTGCAGCCCTCACCGCTCACTCCCCTCCCCACCCCTCGCACACAGGAGCCCCTCATTCCCTCGCTTTGCTGGGTGCCTCCAGAAACACAAAGACCTCGGAAACACAAAGACCCTGGAAACATGACGTGTTTAATATCTTTTTAGAAACCTGTGCAAAGTGAAATAAAGATTTAAAGAGTTGAGTCCTATGCATTTCGCTGCTACTGATAGTGATATTTTCTTCTTGTAGAGTGTTTTGCATGCCAAGAAAAACAGTTTTGCATTTTAGGGAAAGGAAGTGGTTGTACATCTGTGTATCTGTACGTGTGCCGGTTAATTCTGCCTGAACAGCTTCCCGGGGCTGTCAGCTCAAAAGTTCTCTTTGACGTAACAAATCTTGACTGTGTTTGCAACAAATCCTCAACCAGGAGGGGTTTATTTAATGAAGCAAATGAATGCTGCCAACTTTCCAGGCTTGATCCCAATCCCATTAATGTCAGCAGGAGAGTTCCCAGCATGTTTGGTTTGTTGGTTCAATCTAATCTGGGTAAGGGAGTTGAAAATTTGCATTCGGGTCAGATTTGCAGACAAGTTCATTGCTCCACTTCGCTGAGAGTCTGTGGGAAAAGCAGACGGTACAGGTGGGAGTCCTCTCGCCTGATTTTAGGCATCTTCAAGTCCAGCAGCAGATAGCCAAGGGAGGGAAAGAAAAACATTCAGATCATCTTAAGTCAGAAGCCCAAAAGAGGTGAAATTAATTTATTTCTTCCTGCAGAGCCATCTCAGCCCATGAGAACATGCAGCTTGTGTAAAGGAACCTGACAGCACTGGAAGGTCTCTGCAGCAGAGGGAAAAGAACCTCGCTCAGACCCAGCCCCTGAGTGGGTGGGTGCTGACCCAGGCACTGCCACAGCCCCTCGGGTCTTCTCCCTGCGCCTCTTGCCAGCCAGGAACAGAGGCTGACGCCAGGTTCTGGATGCAACCACAGCTTAGCAGCTCTGGTGGGCACTGAGCCCCTCCTGCCAGAGCAAATGCTTGTGCATGGCCCTGCCAACGGCTGGCAGAGCCACTGGGAGAAGGGGAAGGAAGACTATGGCAGGTCCCCACCTTCCCTGTGCCCTCACCCACTGCTGAAACACACACTACGTCCTCACTTCCCCCTGCCCTGAGTGGGGACCAGCACACAGCAAGAGCTGCCCGTGCTGGTTGCTCCAAGGACAATGTCACCCCTCTGTACCCAGGGAGTACAAAGCACTGGGAATGTTTTGAGGGGTCAGCAGTGCCCACATGTTTTGGACACTTGCAGTGTCCCTCAGAAAGCAGTGGCTGCTCTGTGTGAGAGAAGGAGTGAGGGCTGGAAGAAGGAGGGGAGGGCTGTGCTGCTCCATCACCACCTGCAAACACTGGCCACATGGGCTCGTGTGCCAGCAATTGGCCCTTAATCACACATACAGCTAATAAAGGGAAGGAGCTCATCCCTTCAGTTCACAGGGGGGAAGCAGCAGTGTTGGAGAATCAAAGGGAGTGCAAAGCAAGAGGGGTTTTTTAATACAGTATCTCAGGGGCATCAGCCCAACACAAAGATCCTTAATGGCTTTTGCTGATTTGACAGATGCAGAACACAGAAAAATGAGCAGATTTATGGCTGCAACTGTCCCTGGGGCTCAGAGGTGCTTCTCAGGATACAGATCTTTAAATCATCATTAACAATGACATGTGGGTGCACTGGAGAAGACAGAGTTGGGCAGAGCGACGCGGGGGGTGAGAGCAGAGTTTGCTGGCACTTCCTACGCAGCTCTCCCTCCCTGGGGGTGCAGTGATGCTTTATTTCAATCAATCATGTACAAAGTGGGTGCAGTGATGAGGTGCTGCAGGGAACCAAGGCCAGTTCTGCAGGGAGCTATAGCATCTTGGATGAGATCCATGTGTGAAGATGGAAGAGCTGGACAGCCTTTGGAGGCGGTAGGTATCTTTTCAGGAAAGGAGGAGAAGAGTTCAGAGCTCTGGAGAAGCCCAGATCTGGGCAGCAGAGGCCAGACCTGGTCCTAATGTCCCAAAGATCTTCCCTACTGCAGAGACAGAAGAATACCTAATTTGGGAATTTAAGCTTTGTCTTTGGGTTTCCTCTGGATGAGCTGGGAGCTGCAGGTTTTGGGACTTTACTGGACCTCTGCCAGATGCTGAACAGACTCTGGGGACCTACCTCAGGTCATGCCTGGCCCAGCACTGAGTTGCTGCCAGCACCCTCACAGTGCTCCCAGCAGCTCCCTATCTGCAGAGCCCTGGGAAAGTTGTCACCACTCCCTGCAGCACACGGGTCCCTGCTCCAGCCCACAGGCCAGCTGGCTCCTCTGTTCCTTTAAAAGAAACCAGACACCCAAGACTGAAATCGTTAGGTGTTTATTTGCACTTTAGCCATATTAACCCCATCTGCAAGCCAGCCCAGGCTCCCTTTGCACAGCAGCAAAGGTGGGTCTGGGTGAGGAGCAGCTGACTGTGATAAATATCAGGCTTTGGTCCAAAGAACACAGCATCCCTGGGTCGGCACTTTCCCAGCCCGAGCTGATTTTAACTCATGATTCACCCCCTTCAGCCAAGCTGCAAGATCTGCTGTTGCTGGATGTTGTTCCTTTCACAAGAACCAAAATGTTCAAGCTGTTCATAGTGGGGAACACCAAGAGCAAATGCCAAAACATCGCTTCGGAGCCTCTGCTCCCCCTAAAGCAGAGATCCCCACAGCCCTCCTGGGGATGGACTGCCCTCACCATTGAATCTTGCCTTCAAAGCAGCATTGCTTCTCTTTTTTTGCATGTCTAATCCCCTGGCATAGCTGGATGCAAGAGCAAGATGCAGCCACCTACCTGAAGGTTTCAAAACTCTCCTGGGATCTGCCTGCTGACAGCAGTGGTTCAGGCTACTGCACTCATTCGTCTTGCAAAAAAAAAAACCAAACCAACCCAACCAACATCCTCCAGAAACTTTAAAATGTCGATTTGCTGTTGTCTGCTACATACTCTTCCAAAAAAGAGTGAGTAATGCTAAAGTTCTTTTTTTCTTCTGTGGAGGAGGTGGGCAGTAGAGATAACACAGATCCCGAAGCAGCTCAGTCACACAGGAACAACTAACCCAGGAACTGGCACAGCTTAGTCATATATTTAAAACCTGATATTTTATGAATATTTCCATTTCCAAAGCACTTCCCCCCCTGCAAAAAAATCACCCTCTCAGCTCTCCTGCAACGTGGGTAGTTAATGACTGATGTCCTCAGCTTAGGTGAAGGAGGGAATCCTGTCTCAAACCCATGTCCAGTGGGGGAGAGGGGATGCAGTGGTGGGACAAGGCATTGTTCACCCCCTTCCCTCATTCATTGAGGAGCTCAGTGAGCAGCTGGGGAGCCAGGGGTTGTTAACCAGCTCAGACCGCTGCATTGGAGGCTGGACTGAGAAATACGTCAGAACCGGAGTAAACACGATATTTATCTCTTTCCATCTCCAGGTGTACTGTAGGCAAAATGGTTGGGTTGAGTAGCTTTGCTCTAAAACCTGGTCCCAGTTTGCTCTTTGATGCTGGGAGTCCTGTCTATCCCTGTGTGAGATGCTGCTGCCACCATCTCTCTGCAAAACAGGCATCAAGGTGGGAGAGATGCTCCTGAGAAGGGGCCAAGCATAAACTGAAATGGTGCATCCCTTGGAGGGGGTGTTGAGTACCTCAGAGCTCATCAGAAGCCTCCTCCTCACAAAGAATGATGTTCATCTTCTTTTCATCTGTGTGGCAAGAAGCTTCTCTCCTAAAGGTGGAGCCCAGGGACTGGCTGGCGCTTTCGCAGATGGTCCTCAGGCGTGACATGCAGTCTTCGCTGGTCATCACGTAGAGCAGGGGGTTGAGGGCACTGTTGAAGCTGGCCAGGCCCCGGGTCACCTGGTAGGAAATGTAAATATTATTTAAAGCCTGTGTGCAGGAGCCTTGCAGCTGCCAGCCTCGAGACAACAAGTTGAGGTTTCTGAAGATGTGGTAGGGGAGGAAGCAGATGGAGAAGAGGACCATCACAAGAATCACCAGTCTGATGCTTCTTCTCCTGAGGCTGAGGTCCACAGTATCGTTCCTGCAGAGCACCACCACCACGTGGCAGTAACATCCGATGATGATGAGGAACGGGATGATGAACCCAGTCACGGTGATGGCCACAGTGTACGGCAAGTAAACACCCAGGTTCTCGTTCCCCGTCGTGTCGTGGCACCGCATCCCCATGTCGTCCATCTTGCTAAAGGCGAAATCGGGAGCTACCTGCGCGATGACCCACACCCAGACCGTCGCGCTGAGCCACGCTGAAGAGGTTGCCCCTTGCCACCTGCCCCGTGCCTTCAGCGGGTGCACGATGCCCAGGTAGCGGTGGACGCTGATGCAGGTGAGGAAGCCGATGCTGGC